GTCAGCGGGAGTAGCTCTGAACCCCCCATTTTCCCCCCTCTTTATAGGTGCCTCATGCGAATATGAAAAGCGGGTCAATATCTCTGTCGGATGTCATTTCCGAACCTGATGAGCTTCATTTAGGAGAGTGAGATGTGCTAGCAAAGTGAAAAAATGAAACAGAGAACCTTAATTACAGCTTTTCTGTGTGTCAAGAGAAAGCTCTCTTTCTTGCAGGTGAAGGAAGGGAACCAGAGGAAAATGAGTGGCAAATAGCTGAAAAGAAGAGTTCTAGAGTATTTGATTGCTACCGTGTATTCTAATGGCTCTAACCATTCTTCTTGTGCAGATCACATATTTGAAAAAGTAAATCCTGAAATGGAAAAGCTGGGATATGAGTGCAAGTGCCTTGGAGGAGGGAAAATTGATCATAATAGCAAAGACAAGAAAATTAGGGTATTTGGGCTCTCTACAGTAAGTGCATCTCTTGTATTCCTTCAAATCCTTTTGTCTCCGATGATCTGGTTTTTTTTAGCATGGTGGCTTTTGGCAGTTTGAATCACAGTGTAAACGTTAACTGGAAAACTTGCCTTGCTCACATGTGAGAGGTTAGAAAAGCACTAGTTTTAAGGGCAGGAGACCAAAGCAAAACCAACAGATACCAACATGGGCTCTCTACAGTAAGTGCATCTCTTGTATTCCTTCAAATCCTTTTGTCTCCGATGATCTGTTTTTTTTTTAGCATGGTGGCTTTTGGCAGTTTGAATCACAGTGTAAACGTTAACTGGAAAACTTGCCTTGCTCACATGTGAGAGAGGTTAGAAAAACACTAGTTTTCAGGGCAGGAGACCAGAGCAAAACCAACAGATAACTTAATGCTGAGTAATACCAACATTAAGTTATAGTCAAGACTAAAAATGGAAGTTAGCATCTCCTGACTCAGAATCTTTTAGTCTTACTGCTAGAGAATAGCCCATTTATAGCCACAGGGTCTTGATCCAGCTATTGTGTGATCTTTATTTGCCAATAAAAATGTTGGTTGCTAGTGACCAGCTAAATTGTGAATGTTGTTCTGTGTGTGTGTTGGGTGAAAAGAGTAGACCCAGTTTAGGTGTGGTGAATTTTTAGTAGGTGAAGATGTAGTTTCACATAAATGCTTTTTATGGGAATATAAGTAACTTCCAAGAATACAGAAACTAGAGCATTTTTGTTGCTTGTTACTGTTCTGTGTAAGTTCACTTTCTTTATGAAAGCCTCAATAAGTGGTAATGATTTCTTTAATTTAGGGAACATGCTATAGTCTTTCTGGTGTTGCTCTGGGATGAAGCATAGGTGCTTCTGTAGTAATGCTGCAAGTAAAGAGTCTAGGCTTCTAATGTAGACAAGAAGAAAATAGTTCTATTAAGATTTTTTTTTTTTTAATAGAAAGTGATGGTTACTTCAAATCTGCTAACCTTAGATGAGCAATGAAGGCTGGGCCTTGAATGTGTTAAGCGTTTTTAAATTTTAGTACTGCTTTTGTTCCAAGATGACTCTTGCCACCTGGAATCACAAAAAAAAAGAACCCAAAACTTTTTAAGATTTGTACGGGGTGGGAAGGCAGTGTATAATGCTTATTCTACTAAATTCTTGTGATTGTAGGTCCTCATCATAACTGCACATTTATATGAGACTTGACACCTGTATTATTAATTCAGATGCCAATTTAGCGTTAGAGGCAGCGGTGAACTCTTGCTCTTGCAATGCAATGTCTATGGAAAATATCTTGTTTCTCTGCTTTTGGTACCTGGACACTTACAGATGAGCACCATGTAAAAGCAGAGTTTTATTACCACGAGAGCTCCTGTCAGGCAGAGACCTGGAGGTTCAGAAAACCTCAGTAGCAGGTCAGAAGTTAGTATATTAATTACATTTGAAAACCAGAGAAATAGTCATTGACTTCTTTTGAAGTAGATGGTGTGCTATTATTTACAAAGCTGGATGCGGTCTTCAAAGTCATTACCAAGGGAAGAGCGATCAGTAGGTCTAGTTGCTTTACAAGTGACAGTATAAACCTGCAGTATTTTTGATACAACTGTATTATCTGGTATTTTTGAAAAGTTTGCATTTTATAACGCATCAATAATTTTAACCTGTGCAGTTTAAATGCTGGTTTACTTAAGCTGTTCCTCTTGGGGCAGAGTCAGTGATGAATAAGAGTACATATTTTGTTTGATAATGCAATCCTGAGCTCTTTTTTCAGTCTTCCAAGTTAAGTTTCACATGAGATATTACTGGAAAAAGGAAGTAACCTGTAAATCACAGGCTTTTATCAAGTAGACTGCACTGTTGTGCATTAAAGGCTTTTTGACAGGGAAAAACTTACTTGTAGTTCTGAAATAAGAAAACAAGATAATAACTCCAGTCATATAAGACAATAATGGAAAGGCACCTTCTACCACAATTCCCTTAAATTTCAGTGAAAGAGTAACACTGTGATCAGTGGTTTAAATGAGAGTTAAAAATCACATGGGTTGTCCGACCTTGCCTTAGTTTGGAATTGCAGTACCTGAAGAGCACAGATATTTAAAATTATGCCATTACCAGCTAAGGCAAGAATTCAAATAAATAAAACATGAAGACTGTGATTTTTTTAGTGGCTAGAATAGTACTCAAATGTTCACACATATGGTGGCTTATGCCCTTTTCCTTCAGTTGAGCCAAATCAGATATTTGTATGCTTATACATTAAATTGGGTCAATGCACTCTCTGTGGTTTAAAAGAACATTCAATAAATATGGTGGCTGAGGGATTGGGAACATTTTAAAGCAAGCTTCCTGCTGGAGAAATCATGTGAAAAATGTATCCCCTATTACTTGAGATTGCTTGTCCCCATCTCATTTATCTTCTACAACTCAGGTTTGGGGAGGAATTGGAGAGGACAATAGAAAAATAAAACATGATACTGCAAGAACAACTCTTTTAGAACCTGTATTTGATTTGTTTGTGAATTACTTCAGTATCAAATCATAACTGGATAATTTCTGTCGACAAGAACTGAATGGTTCTGTGGACTTACTTTCTGTACATGTCTAATAAGCATTTGTTCTTTCTTGCAGGGCTATGGAAAAGCAGATCATTCGGTGACTGTAGAGATACTGAAAAAAGTGTATACAGATTATGAAATTACATGGTCCGATGACAAGAAATAAATTGGCTACTTATGAACACAACAAGCAGTTCAAAACTGGTAACTCTGAGCTGTACTTTGATAAATAAAATTGAATGTGTCTTCTATGTATGTTACCATAAAACTGGAGTAACTGGACTCTGCTGTAATTTATAATACAGTTAGTAATCCCCAGATATATCTTATTTTGCAGATCATTACTTTGTGCAGAATCTGCAGTTCTAAGCCTTGTTCCTCTCCTTTTGACATGCCATCTAATTAAACACTCCCACATCGTCTTACCTCCAGTTTGTTTTCATCCAGTCCCATCTCACTGATGTATACATCAGGATTTTGCCATCAACTTAAACACCGCAGGACCAAACCTGTTCCCTGGTCTTTTCACCGCAGTGTTTTCTATTTCCCTCTGCTTCCTTTATTTTCTACTGCTCTTTATGCTTTTCAACTTCCTTATCCGCATTTACAGAAATCAGGCAGGGGGGTGGGGTTGACTTTTAAGTTTCTGCACCAATGATCTAAATCTTCGATTTACTCCATGGTTTTGAAAATTCAATATTTGTGTTCCACACAAGTAATGATCAAGACCTTTTGTGTTCCTGTAAGATCCTTCCCTATAGCGGACTGATGGCAATGTAAAACTTTGACAATACTTGTTTCATTCTGATTCCCCTGTACTTCCTTTATTCCCCATGAGTATAATGATGCTTTTTCTTTTTTTTTTTTTTTAATAGCAATAATTATCTTATAGTTAACTACCTCCCAGCCAGACCCAGTATACCTAGGCAGTATCTGAATTAACATACAGCAGCTGTGGCAGGATGTTGCCCTCCATTTGTTGTGAAGTTACTTGCTACAATTTTCACTTTTTTGTTTCCTGCCAGTCTTCCGTTAATGCTGTTGTGGATTTCAAGGGAGTACCTTTTGTTCTTATGCTTACATTGTTGACTTGCAGTCTTCCAAGAGGTATTTGTATGTAAATCCTGGTTCTTCCCTTTGCTGTGGTTCCTACTGCACTTATCTACCAGTATCTGGTGGGTATAGAGTGGCTTTTTCTTTTCAATGTGCATGTGACTCTTAAAGTACAAATTATGGAATTTGAGAGGCTTTAGTCCAGTTTCTATCACAAAAAAAATCCTGCTGCTACTGCCTTATTACACTAATTATCTGTCTTTTGTCACCCTTCTGTATCTTTGTATTGATTGGTTGGGCAGAGAGGGATTTCCTGTTCTCATCCTCAAACCTTTCAGTCCATTCCTCATTAGAAGAGTTCCAGGTATCTCCATCCCAGTAATCACCTGGGAGCAGGACCTCTTGAACCTGGTGCTGCAGATCTCTTGGTTGGCACCTGCTTCCCCCCACATGCAGCCTGGACTTTCCCCTCCAGCGCCACTATGTGCTTTTGCATCTGCTGTTTGTGCTTCTCTTTATGCTCTTGTGCAATAGTCTTCTGGCTGCACCACTTCAAATGCCATTGACTGCAGGTCTGATTTTTCTTAACAAGATTTTGATTTCAGAACATGATTAAATGCCTGTGTACATAGTAACCAAGAATAGCATACAAGTCAATAATTTGCAAATTGGCCACTTCCCACTTTGATTTTCCTCATGGGTTTCTTCCCCTAAGCTTTAGTAAAGTAACTGTAACGGATACCATTTAATTGGTGCCAGTATACAAAACTGATGTTTTTATAATAGCCTCATTTCCCAAAACTAGCAAATAGTCTTCAAAGGGAAGTGATCAGTTAAGGATAGCGCCTAGTAAAACAAACAAGCTTTTTAATTTAGTTTTCTGAGATGATGACTGATTGTAATGTTTCTCTCCACAATACTTACAGGAAAGACGTAATTTAGACCGGATTTGTTATTGTGATGACTCATTAAAAAAGCGAGCGGATGGGGCAAGGGGAGAAAAGGGATGATGATTTGGAATGAGCTGATAAATTGAGTTACCAGCTGGTAGAGACCAAAGGTAGAGACCTTTGTTTCTTCATCCAAGCAATTGGGCCTGTTGTAAGGGTTTATTGTGTCATCAAAAAAAAATACTTTTGAGGGTCCTCCTAATTCTTTTCTTTTCTAGTGCAATGTCATTTAGGGAAATGCTAATTTCCCTTACTATTAAGTGATATGTACAAGTATTACAAGGGAGTGAAAGATTTTTATTCCAGATCATGAAGAGAAGCAGGAAACTGGTCACTAAGGTGGTGATGATTTGGCAGGTAGAGAAAGCCTTAATGTAGGTTAGGGAAACTAGTATTATTTGATGTTGAAATACCAGCAGAACAACCAGCCTACAAAACTAAGTGTTGAATTCTGCTTCCTTTCAGCATGTATCTGCTGAATTTTAAGAACAGAATAGAATTACTCTGGAATTATGGAAATCCCAATGCTAATTTTGCTGATTTCACTTGAGAAAAGCATCCTTTATTAATTCTTATCTGTAATTCTGAAATGGGAACTTAATTATACTGTGTGGGGTTTCCTGTTTTGCAGGTGTGCAGTCACTGAGATTGTGGCTCTAGCAGTCTTCACTTGAAAGTCCTAAAAAAATCTGATTCTGTATTTGCACAAAACCAGAGCTGTTTGAGCAATCTAAGAATAAAATGAGGATGCTGAGCAAAGGAGTAGTAAGTATATTAAACCCAAGACAGTGAGTTCGATTGTGGAATATTTTCAAAAGGAAGCGTTATGGTAGAAGATTTTCATCAAAATATACATGAAATTGTTGTTCTTAACCATATTAATTGTCACAGTGGTCAGTATTTATTATTACTTCGGGTACCATTCTCTGAAGCAGCACTAGACCTAGCAGCTGTAGAACAAACTATTCAGTCACTATGCGTAAGCCACAATTTGTCTTATGACTGAGGTTTGAAAAATGGCAAGTGGTAGTCACTTCGTTCCCAACTTCCCAGTTTTGACAAAAAAGAACTGTTAACAGTACTTTATTGATCTGCCAAAGAGAAAACTTCCTTTTGTTCCTCAGTCTGTGGTCAGCAGTTGTCTATCATCAGTTAAGTTTCAGAGTTGATGCAGAAAAATTCCAAAGTGCAATCACAGCTTTTTTTTCCCCCCCCCCCCCCCCCCCGCCAAAAGAGCAAAGTTTCCAAAGCATCACTTTAAATTAGTCTACTTACAATTGTTTTTGAAACAACAGTAGTTGTTAAGGCTCTTCTGTAAAGTACAGGAAATCCTCTATGACTCTGTCCTAAGAGCAATATGGTCAAAATAGAAATCTTGCAGTTGACTTTCATAGCCTTCAATGACGGGAACTTTACGCAATAATTAAAGTGATTTAGGTGACTGGTGTAGTAAGTTTATTTCCAGTCCCTCAGACAATTGTCCTTTCCCCCCTACATGGAGTATCCTTGCATCCCGTTTACTGCAGTGGTTGACTGTTTCTATTTCTGCAAGGGCCCCCAATAAAGCAGTGCACAATCAGTAGTTTTGGTGTACCTGTTAAGAGTTATGTAATAGCTTTGTGTCCAGTTTTAGGTAAGACAAAACATGGAGTGGTTTTTTTTTTGTGTGAATTGTTGGCGACACCAAGTGCTCGTGACCAGGTTTTGTAGTTCTTTGGGTTTGTTTGGATTTTTGGTAAGGCAATTTCTTCAGCAATGTCACTATCTTCAGCCTAGGACACAGGAGTGACTTGTACACAGGCTTTTCTGAATGCTTGCTGCCCTGCCAAACTGCTGAAAAGATTGAAGAGGTGTGAGTGGTTCAGTGGTGCCCCCAGCAGTACTCCCCTGCAAGTTTTGGATATGGGCCATAGTGTATGGGCAGTTTAATTTCTGGAAAAAATTTGGTTAAAAAAAAAACCAAGACAAAACAAAACCCCACCAACCTAGTACATCACTCTAGCTGGCAATCAGCTATAATAGCACTATCTCCTTTCCCATTTGTCACCTAAAGCTCAGTTCTGTCATCCTCCAGTTTCCTGGATTGCATTTGTAGGTTTATTGGTGGTTTGTTTTAAGGAACTTCTCTTGTGCAGAATCTTCTTTCAACTCAGCTTCTAAAACAGAAATCAGTTTTATTCATGTCTAAAAACAGTACTGCTATTTCCAATTACTTGCTGAAATTTCCTAGAGCAGTATGTCAAAATCTGAATGCGAAAATTTACAGACCACACCATTAAATATTCTCTGGCACACTTTTCCAAAGGCTTGAATAAAAGTCACGTGTGCATTACATATGAAAACATTACAAAGACGTGTGAGATTGCTAGCAGAATAAACACAAGTGATAAATACAATCACATCCCCCTCTGGTGGCAAAGCAGCGGAGCACACAGGTATGTGGTCGACTCTGAAATCTGCTGCTGCAGTTAAACGGTATCCGAATTGGGAGCTTAACCCCTGAGAACCACTTCCTGCACAATTATGGATGCTAAACGGTCTCGTTCACGCTCTTGTGACATACTGTTCTGGCACTGCCAAAGAATGTGAGCGGGGGAGTGGGGACAGTGACTTGCTTAACTTTTAAATACACATAAATGACAATTAATACGCATAAACAGAAGGTGGTTTAAGCAGAGCTCCATTTCTTCTATGCAAAACCAGAAGAGTCCTTCACTTCTAGTCAGACGTCAGAATTTGTCAAGCATTTCAATAACAAGCATCCTTAATTTGTCAAACCAGAATAACTCAACAGAGGAAAAAGCAAAGAGTATATGAGGATTAAAACATTTTGTCTTTAAGGTATTTTTGAAGGACCAGCAGTTGAGTTTTAACTGGAATCTTTAAAGGCCATTTCCATAATACATCGCTGCAGTCCTTCATCAATTATTTTAACTATGCTGGTCCTAAACACATTTCTCTCTACAACAAATTTCTCAAAGAGGTGGATACCACCGCCAACCCCAAAATAATGTACTTTGCTTGCCAAATACACACGGCCATTTTTATCCAAGAGCTGAGCCAGTGTATCATGCAAAACACTGTAGTAGTCAGGATTATAGATGGTCTCAGATGTGAGAATTATATCATACTTTGAAAAGGGTTTGTTGCTGCTTAACAGGAGCTGGCTGACTTCAGACCACTCTCCTGAAAAAAATCTGCATTTGGCGAGCACATCAGGTAAGCAGTCTGCTTTCTTGGGCCTCTTT